ACAAATGGCAGGCGTTTTGATAGTTATCATTAGCCCTTTAGTTAACTTCGGGCTTTGCAGAGGGGAGGAGGAACATCAAAGTGAGAAGAATTCGGGAGGGAGAATAGAAGAGTGATTCACAGATGTAAAAGAAACAGACAGACACAAAGGCTCAGAAAGGGTAAGATGAGTACTCTGATAGGGGTCGAATAAGACATACAGTGGGGGTGATGGTAGTTTGAAGTGAGAAGTCAACTGCCGGTTAATAGACTTTTTTGCCGTATGATTATACGTTGCCCAGGATGCACCACGAGGAGGTAAGTCTATCCCACACCACCAAATGTTAATACTGTGTGCTAGTAATTGAAGTGAAGAATGAGATGAACACTATTGCACGACCTGAGAAACCAGCGCGCATTGACAGATGAAAGTTTTCGCATAATTATTTGCATCCCCTTGCCAAGTGTGGCTGACTAATGCGTGATCTTTAAATGACCATATTGGCGCGATTAATGGAGAGAAAGTACTGCTTATATTCTACTTTTGCTTTTATTTTAATGAGTCTAGCCAAAAAAATGCATGTGGAGGATCTGTGGATAAAAGTTGGTCGACGATTCTCAAATTTGCTTTAAAATTTAACGCATTTGAGGAAAAATTTAACACCCAGGGGAATTCTCAAAGAGAGACTGATTCAAGCCTCAGCCACAATAGAGATGATCACCGATTTCTTGTGCGTTCGGTAAAAACGGGACCTCAGTCCAACTTTCTCTCAATCACCCTTAAAACTAGACTACGAGGCCCAATTTATTCCAAAATTAAATAAATACTATCTCATAAAGCCCTTAATACTTGTTACACACCTCGTATTTCCAACGCAAAAATTTGAGTCACACGCGTAAGAGGAATACACGTGTAAAATACATTAAGTTGCTATTTTTCACTCTTATAAAAATTGTAATTTAAAAGCTAGTTAGGGGCGGGGGGTTGGGACCTCAAGTGGTAGAAGTGAGTAAACAATGGCAAGGCAAATGTGCCCAAGGCGTAACATACACATCGCTACTGAAGAATTGGAAGTAGGCAACCAATAGGAAAGCAGAGAGAAATATTAGCGCATATTGGAATTAATGAGGCGATAGGAATCTGTAATACGCCCTAGTCAATGGCACCAGATGACAGCTTCAGACCAATCCTGTATTGCTCAATGTTTCATCTATCCATAGGGCTCTCATAGGGCTTTTATGCACATGCATTATACCCTGCCTTACCCATAACGTTCTATTAGAAATGCGATAGTGTAAGCACATGAATGCCTGAATTTGACAGAGAAAAAAATGCTAAAATGAAGAAAGGAGGCGCATACTTGTCATTTCCGCCCCCCCCCCCCCCCCCCCCCCCATCCCACAACCATCCTCGCCTTCGCAATAAAAAGGAAGGAGAAAATGAGCATGTCAACAGACTCACCAAAGCGTAACGACTTCATTTGAGTAAGTTTTAATGGGGATGGACTTGGCCCGAGCAAGACCAAAATCAGCCAGTTTGAGATCACCACGATCGTTGATGAGGAGGTTCTGGGGTTTGAGATCACGATGCAGGATACGACGGGCGTGGCAGAAGGCCAATCCACGAAGAAGTTGATACAAGAAGAGGCGAACATTCTCTGGATGCATCAAATTGTGACATTCGTGGAGGTATTGTTTCAGATCGCGTTGCTGAAAAGATACAGGGAGAGAATAAAATCGTCAAATATAAAGAACATACAAATTCATATTTAGGGTAAAATAAACAGGAATCTATCTATTTTCCTTGATATGGACCTTCTTTAGTGATCAATCGCGGATTCAGGATTCGTGCTAAAAGTATGCATCTTCTTTTTGAGCTTTAAGAATTTTTATTGAATTCGCCCATAAACATTGTTTAGGAATAACCCAAAGAGCCTCTCTACGTACGACTCTAGGCGGCAAATTGGTGTAGAAATTTAACAAAGGCAATCTCTGATAGGCGACAATTTGAAAATCCATATCTTTCCAAAGAATTGAATAGAATTCACTTAACTTTGAATGAAAGGTATCGATTTTTTTAATGTCAAGACGACATGTCGCCTTTGGCTTATTGCGCATAGGTAAGTGGAGCAGTTGAATGAGCTAATTCACTACGCCACAGGCATGTTTGAGATGACTAATTCTCAAGCCCATTTCTAGCAATAATCTTGGGCAAATAAACAGTAAATGGAGTTTCACCAGCAATAAACACCAATTTTGACATTAGGAGGACACATGAGAAGTGTCGTTAATCCTTTTACTCGATTGGTGTAAATAGGCGGGCACCGAACCCATAGGATCTGGTTTCGTAGACCAGGGGGGGCTGACTGGTGTATCGCAATAATAGCTAATAATAATAGCTAATGAAACCGACTCAGTACGGTCCAAGGGAAATGGAGTGACTAAGCGTTGATTCCCGACTCACATAAACGCCCATTTGCTTCGTGTGTTGTTATGACAACTGAGGGCTCTTTTGCAGGGAGTGAGTTGAAGCCTCAATGACTAACTACCACTTCATTCAAATTGCCGCGTAGAAAAATAAGAAGCCCACTGTTAGGCCCATGTAATACGATTTTGATAATTTAGGTCAAAAGATGAGACAATTTGGAGGAGGTCAAAAATGACAGAATAGTATAGAAAATGTTAGTTATAAAGCGAGCTAAGCGATTCTACAAGGTCTCCTAATTGGTTATAATTCTGGGATTACGCAGTAGATTGCGTAGTAGTAGGGAGCCGTATATCTGTAGCAGTAGGCTGTGAGGGAAATGAAGCCAACAAATCATCCTTAATATAATGAAATAAACGGAGTGTGCGATAGACTTACCTCCACGCAGTGCACCCTGGGCAACGTATGCTCATAAGGCAAAAAAGTCTATTAACCGACAGTTGACTCCTGACTTCAAACTACCATGACCCCACTATATGTCATGTTCGCCCACTTCCCCAGTACTCATCTTACCTTTTCTTCGCCCTTGCGTCTGTCTGTCCCTTTTACATCTGTGAATCGCTCTTCTTTTCCCACCTTTCGAATTTCTGTTACTTTGATTAACCTTCCCTCTGTGAAGCCCGAAGTCGGCTAAATGTCTAATGATAGCTATCAAAACGCCTGCCATTCGGAATAAATAAATAAATAACGAAATAAAATGGAAAATGACGAATCCATCGCTGCTTTCTGGTTGCTGGAGATAATTAATTCGAGGTGACATGGCCAACCACGGAGACACCAAACACTGAGTACTGTGAGAAATAATCCAACTCATAAACTCGGAAGGCGAATCTTAACCATTAAATGATTAGGGTACTAAAAAGTTGGCTTCTTCTTGCACAAGAATGCGCACCCAACTTTAAAGGAAGTGTGAGGAACGTGGTGTTCTGTCTTCGTGGTCAATTCCCAACTGTCCCCCTTCACTTATTCAATTCGCACGCCAAGACCTCCTTGACCAGATAATGCCTTATAATTAAGCATTGTGATGGGCGATTATTGGAAAGTACACATCTATCAAGGTCTCAGTGGCGTCCAAGTGCTTAAGAAGACTGGATGGGTGGCATAGACGGTGAGAGATCAGATTGATATGGTCGATCGGCAGGACCTATTACCCAACTTCCATAGTGGACACCTCGGTGAAGTTAAGAAACTGCGAGCGAATTCTGGCGTAGGAACAGAATTTAAAGAAAAAACCCCGGCCTGACTTTTTAAGCAAAACAACTTGCGACAGTCAATTATTTTTAAGTGAAGCATTAGGCATGACTCTGGCAAGCCGCTTTTTACTGAATGGTTTATTTTAAGAAAATATGAAATTTTAAATGTTAAATATTTCCTACAATCTTTCGTCTGCTTTATTAGCCAACACACACGCACACACACACACACACACAAACAGAGTGAGAGGGAGAGAGAGAGAGACTTTTTATTACACGAAATAAAAATAACATCTTTATTTTATGCTTGGAAGATAATTAGTTTTTTTTCATTAACCAACAGACTAAAACGAAACACAACAAAAAGCAAAATGCGAATTTAAACAAAGACGAATAGGAGAACGGGAATTGCCGATTTAGTATCCACTCCCCCGCCCACCCACCCACCCACACAGACGCACACAAGGAACGATAAAATAGGCCCAAACTTTTTCCCTCACCTATTTGCATAATTTTAAAGTGAACCACCAAATCGAATGGGACTTTTATTGGGTGTGTGTGTGTGTGTGTGTGTGTGTGTATGTGTGTGTGTGTGTGGGGGGGGACTAAAGCTAATCAAATGGCACTTCTTACTGTCTCGTTGCCTTGTATAAAAATTAAACCCACCAAAATAAACAAACAGACACACACACACACACACACACACACCACTAAGTGGACTAGCAATTGAAAATTGGATCAAATCGCAGGGCGCTCTGATGTCAGTCCCGACAACTTTTTGCTCATTTAACAAAAGTAGCACACTGAGAAGTTTCTAGCGCTCCGCGACAGGCACTAATGAAGGAGCATAAAATGCTGCTCGATAAACTTTACCTAAACGAGATAGAAGGCAGAGAAATGAACGCGAGGTGGGGAGATGACAAATGGGACAAGGAATTTCATTATAAAGACTGTAGACTGGAAATGTCCATGAATAAAACGGGAATTACAAGTGAAACAAGGAGGACAATTTGTAAGAGTAGGAGAAGTGGAATGAGTGGATAAGCGAATCAAAGGAATAGTTTAAGATGGGAGATCAGATTGTGGACCTGTTTCCGATTCTTCTAATAGCAAATGCGAATTTTCGGTATGTTAAAGAATTCCTTATGGTGGGGTTAATGATTTGAAGAAATAAGCATACGGACGAGTGTCAAACCAATATTCGCCATGGCAACCACAATCAATCAATCAATCAATCATCAATGGAATAGCCTAAGCTCCAGACCACATAACATAGCTTATAAAAAATCCAGGAAATTTTTTTCCTCGATCTAGAAATATGCGTGCGTTGCAAGAACAATCGTCCAAAATAGGGTTTCTAAGGTGTGAACAGTGTTGCAGTCGTTTAGGAAAAGCACTCAAACACTAAAGAAGCAAATCTTGCCCTATATCCCTCTGACTCCCTCTTAAGTAATGACTCATCGCATGCACTTGTAAACACTCCCTATTCACACGCACACGCACACACACACCCACACCCACTCATCAAATCCCACTCCGACATACTGCTACTGCAGTGGCTATGATGATGACGACGATGATGATGCTGCCGCTGGTGTATTCCTCCCCACAATGAGTCATAGACCGGCTAACGCGTACGCACTCGGGTGAAAATTAAAAAGAAGGAGGGGGGGGGGGGGGGGGGGGGGGGGGGGGGGGGGGGGGGNGGGGGGTGAGGAGGAGGACGGGAGAAACACGCAGTCCTAGCCACAGGCTGTGGATTGTGCTAATTGCCTTGTGTAAAATTTGACCACGTAAGAGGAAAAGAAGGTAAAAAAGCAATATCTGAGAGGAAGAAGATTAGAAGCCGACGAATGTGCGCATCCCAATGTGATTCAGCATTTAAATTATAGGGGTTTCCGGCTAAGAAATCTACTATGAGTAGTGAAAAAAATAAAGCAAATATGGGAGATATTGGTGAAGGTAACAGCTCCAGCAACAAAGAATTCAGGGCACTCTTCAAGCCGCCTAGATATCCCCAATCAACCGCTCCTAGATTGTAGGAAAAGGAGCTATAGGTGTCGCAAACGGCTCTTCACTACAAATGCACTAAACAATCGTTCTTCACGGAGAGGTGAAATTTTCCTCTTGAAAGTGGAAGTCTGCTGCAGGATGAGAGCGAAAATAACTATAGCATTATTATTACTTCTAATGGCAGGCTTTATGATATTTATCATTAGCCCCTTAGTTGACTTCAGCTTTCCCCATGGAAGGGGGGGGGAGGTACATATATAGCAGTTAATTAATAGCACGTCATTAGCTGTCTTCTAGCTTCCCAGCATCTCTGGGTTTCCGTCGTTGTCTTTAGGGATGGAAACCGAATCAGTTGGGTCTTCTCCATTTCCTCCTGAAGGTTACATAGGGGGCATGTTGGTTGAGTATATACATAACCATAACAGAAGGCGTCTCAATGGAATAGATTGGTTACGGCAAAAAACACCGAATCCTACCGTGAATGTTCCACCTGTTGAACCTTGAAAGATTATAATCAGATTAATCCTCGGTAAAAATTTCAAAGTGGTCGATTAGATTAATGAGATTGATTGATTAAGAGAGCCATGTAAAGAAGTGTCATAATATCAAAACTTTCAAGACCCATATCAGGCAGTTGAAATCTCAACTTCAAAGGTGTGCGCAGGTATTTAAACTAAATTCGCAGTTTTTTACTTAGCGGTATTTTCAGAGTCCCGGCGACTCGAAATAAGCACCAAAAATTGTAGAAATTTGAAAATATAAAAAATTGGATACAGATAACATCGAAGGGGTGTCGCTAAGAGATGTGTGGAGGCAAAAAAAGTCGAAAACTTTTTGGTGAAAGAACTGTATAGCTAGTTTCTACTTCCCACATTTCTACGCAGAAAACAATCCACAAGCGAGAGATGAGACAGAGTATTAGCAGGTACTTCCATAGCTTTTCATCGTATTTGGAATGAGAAGTGTCGATATAGAATAGGGATTTGTAGAAAGTGATGGGTCAAACCCAAGTTGAAAAG